AAGTTTGCTCACAAATGACAGAGGCAGCATGCATTCTTGGCCATGGAAGTATGTCATATCATTATTACCAGAAAATAGCCCTAGCCAATAAATGCGAAATTGGCACTGATTTTAGTCTGCAGCTGCTCCTTTTAATTTATCCTGCCACACTATCAAATGTTCACCCGGTTCTACCCTTCAAGCTTTTGAAAGACATTTGCATTGAAAGATAGCACTAAAAACTTGATACGCCCTACCCGGCATGTGTGTATCTATTTTACTTACATGACTCAACAGAGTTTTCTTGTGCTGTGCACCTGCATGAGTCTGGATCAAATGTCTATACAGTGCTTGAAGGATAGCTACCAGTAACCAGATCCCCACAGTGACAGTAACCTGGCAAGAGACTTCGGCAGCCCGACACAAGAAGGGAAGACGGAGAAGGAGAAGAGACACTTGTCTCTCTTTCAGACTTAACAAATCCCACAGGGAGAAACCAAAATAATACAGTCCTTCTTAAATGCATGGCGTGTTATAATAGTGTGTCCTGGCCCACATAAAACACGCCAAATTAACCCTGTGAGCCATAATTAGCATTCATAGATGTATTGTGGACAATGAAGACGTCGGAGGAGGATAATTGGGAACCCTAAATTTAGGGTACACACATTTAATCTGAAATTCTCATAATCTAATCACCATTTTGTCATCAAGTATACTCATTGTAAGTCTTTTATAGGGTTGACTGAGAAACGGGGAGGCAATAAATCAGCCAGTTTGCGCCACTAAACTGACCTCAAGAGGAGACGTTTTTTCTCTTCATGTCCTCCTCTCCTTGCTAGCAGTGATTACTGACAACAGGAAAAACATTATCATGCCACACACTTGGCTAGAGGACATTTGTAGAGCAAGGCAGTTGAAGAAAGGAGGGAAAAGAGCAGAAAAATAATGTTATTTCCTAACATCAATGTGTGCTTGTGTGTCGTATTTATGTGTTCACGCTTACTTTTTTGGGTGTGAGATAGGAGCCGGGCACTAAAATGGCGCTCAAAATAGCCAAGCCAGTTTTCAGCAAGTTCTTAATGTTTCTCAGTGGAGAGGTTTGATGAGATCTAACATACTTAGCTGTTACCTGTTGCTGCCATTTGTGCTCCTGTACGAGTGCCATGAAGAAATCTTTGGCCCTGTTTACACCCAGCATTAAAATTTGTCTAACGTGATGCGATCATAAGTGGACAGCAAATTGTTGATGATTAATCAAGCTGACCAATTTCTCAATTGAGGAGTATATTATAGTACTTTGTTTAACTACACACAGTGGTGGAAAGTAACTAAATAAGTAAATTTACGCAAGTACTGAACTACAAATTTGAGTTTGTCCTTGAGTATCTCCTTTATTTGCGACTTTACTTTAAATATTTTATATATTTTACAAATATTTTATAGTTAATAGTTATTTTTCACATTACGATTTTACATTTAGACCAATGATCAGTGTATAAACACACATCATTATAGATTAAACTACCAGTACTAACAGTATATGAAGTAGTTAAAATTAGCTCCACCCCGACAACTAAAACATTAAAGTAGCGCTCATATGTTAATGCATAATGTAATATTACAGTAAAACGATGTCAGAGAGTCTACAAAATGACAACTTTAACTTGTGATACCAACAGTGTTTCCCCTGATACACTGTATCAGATGCTCATTCGACATTTAATGTAAAATGTAGCCATATATTTACATGTTATGCCTTGCGATTGATGAATTAATTAAAAACAAACACGGATAGATGCTTAAGATCAGAGGGATTTGTAATACATAATGTTCAGTGCACGGAAAATGTGTGGAATCCATATTGTTACTGCATAATTAACAAAGAAATAGCTATATACATCTCAGAACCCAACAGCTGCAGCCGGTGGGCCTTTCAAGGTTCTTTGCTTGATTAAAGCTGGAATTAAATCAAGGCTTTGACCTTCTTCACTAATGACTAATTACTGGCAATTAGCCCAGAGAATGGCCTCCTTACGCCCCTTCTTTTCCCTCATCCTGTTCTCACAATTAGCACCCACTCACACACAGTCAAGACAAGCAGACTCTTTTACACTGACACATAAATACAAACACTCACTCAAAAGTGGCGGGGAATAAACCTATTGTATGTGTTGTGTGCTAATGCATTGCAGGTCTCAAGCTACAGAATACTTGAGCAAATACCTGCAGAGAGCCACACCCTCTACCTGTGTGGTTTATTTAACTCTGCAAGGGTGGGTGGGGGAATGCTATGTGCAGGGATCAGCCGTTAGAGAGCAGGTTTAATACAGCCAGCACTTCACAGTCAAATAGTACCACCCGCATTCTTTAAGTCACATGATACCACGGTCACATTTTAATGTACAATAAGCTATGCATGTAGGGAATCCACATATCTGCAGCTGTGAAGTTTAGGCATGAGTGTGTGACTGGGTGTGTGTGTCCCTCCCTGCTTCTGTGTGTGTGTGTGTGTGTGTGTGTGTGTGTGTACTGGGAGGTGAATCATTGACCCCTGGCAAGTGATGAGAGCTTGCATCAACTAGGGTGACCTCTTTCTCCACCCCCCTCCCCCCACCCCTTTCCACTTCCCCTTTATTTTCACTCTCCCATCCCGTTCTTCTTTCTGCCATGACTTCCCTGAACTGCGAGCTAAATACATTCTCACTGTCAAAAGCAGCAAGTGGGTGCCCGTCAGCTTGTCTAGAATCACTTCCACTGACGGAAAAAAAAAAATGCTGAAGTGCAGAGAGGAGAAAAAAAAAAAACGCTGATTCTACTTGAAGCCCCGAGGCAGGCCTGCATCAAACCCGCTGAAACGTAACATGTCTGGGAAAAGCTGAGAGGATCATGAAACAATACACACATAGTCACCGGGCAGTTTTTTGAATTGCTTCACACACCACCACTACACACTGATGACAGACTCCAAAAGGAGCAAATTCATTTGAGAGTGATGGTCTCCAATTCAAGAAATGAGTTGTGTTTATGGCCTTATTTTGATACATGTTTTGATGTGTTGGCTGTTGATGCTAAAATACATTATAAATCATAGTTATGAGCCAACATGCAGAACATTTCTCCCTTTAAATTATCTTTCAGTGGTTGTCTTTCCGTCAAAAAACAGTTTGGTGGATTTACTACCAACGATTATAATGTAAATGCACTGTACTGTCCTCATCTGGGGTTCAACTCATTCGGTTTTTTTAACACAAAAATTACAAATATTCAGCATTTAATCCAGATTTGCGTCGTTGTGGGTTGGAAAAGCTGCAAGAGCATTACTGTACGACCGCAACGAGACAACAAAACTCTCCAACAACCAAGACTGATCAAATTCTTTGAGATGAGCAGTTTTTAAATGCTCCATAAAGAGTTGGCTAAACCCTGAAATACAATGAGAATTTTAATGAAGTACAATAAAGTGAAGAAGAAATGTGACAAAAAAATAAAAAAGTTTTACAGACTGTTTGAGTGTCATAACATTGTGTGTTAGCAGTGGACAACATGATGTCTGATTATGACAGATCAATAACAGCTGTACATATCTGCACACTGGTCTGACTTTATCCTGATTTGCATACATCTTAAGATGCCAATACTGTCTGCAGAGCAAGTCTCTCAAGACAAACATGAAAGACTCTGAGCCCGGGGGGACTGCTCTGTTACTTCTGTACACTGTGGGCTTCCCTCTACATGCTCTCACATCCAGATGTCTCTCTTACTCCCCTGGGAGCCAGATTCGTTATGGAAACAATTTTCAGCCCCTCCAAATGGTGCCGAGATATCTGTGATAACATAAAAGGGCTTCAAAGACTGGTTTTATTTGTTTCCTTGCGATGCCTCACTATTCTCCCTCTGTCCAACAAGACAGTGATGTAGAAGCACGTGGCATGTTTCTACCACAGCGGTTTGACAATGACTGTATCTTTCAGGGAGAGAGGGAAAAAAAAGCATCACATGATAAATGATGCATATAGTGTGTGACTCAGTGAGGCTGAAAGAGCATGTCACTCCAGATAGGGTCTACTTTAAAAATGGTTAGATAAACAAACACAGGCCTGACACAAACTTTAAGCAGGATATGAACAGTATGTATTCCACATGTTGCAAACTCCACAGTGGGAACAGAAGCCATTTCCTTGTCTCTGTGGATTTTAGCCTGTCACAGAAATCCCTGATAGTAGAAAAAAAGCCATCAGCTGGTTCAAGGGCAAAGTCGTCGAGTCAGACCAGAGTTCAGCTTTACAGGGCAAAATCACATCATGCTGTCAGTCATTCAGCTTGGTACAGCCACAGCGCTGACCAGGGCGGCTCTTACACACTTACTCGGTTCTACCACAGAGAGCAAGTTTGTTTACCAGGAGAAATCCGCCATTCCTCATGGCTATTCCATGCATTTCTCTCTGGATCTGGCGGCCATCCCAGACCAATAAATTGTGTTTCTGTCTCAAACTGTTTAGCAAGAGACGCGCGACAAGCGCCATAAATTACATAAGCGCAATTAAAGTGCCAACCTCTGACCTTGCCTGACCGGCACAACCACGATCACCTGACTTTTGCATTGGCCGCAGCTTTCCTTTCAATTGGCACAGTTGCGAAACGATAATTAGGCAAAGAGAGAAGCCTAACAACCGGATCCACGGACAGGAGTCGGTTGTTAAAGTCCGCGGACGCTTTCGCGCACAGCTCGCGGTGTCGGAGAGAAGACGCCATGAACGAAACGCACTCTCATCTAAGTCAAAACAAAAAGCAGCAGCTTCGCGACAAACACAACAACCAGCCCGGACTCTAAATATATCGCTGCGGTGTACTTACTGAGGTGTAAATACGGATCATTACTGTCCATACTGTGCGAGTTGTGGCGTCGATTTCCTACAGTCGGTGCTGCTCCGCATCCCAGCGCATTCCTCTCCCAGCCCGACTCAACTCTGCAAGGCGGCTCTACACGGGGGCCCAGCGAGGGAGGGGGGGCGGCAAAACAGGGCTTCTCCCAATGACAACAGTGGTCGATATCAAGCTCCAACACGATCATGACGAAACATCTCTCCTGCAGTGACACCGTGTTGCAATATTTTCACAGTAAAAGGTAACTTTCCCGAATCACGACGCAAAAAGACGGGAAAAAGAAAGATGGTGTTGTTTTTGAATACGGCCTGGGTTTTTTTTTTTTTTTTTTCGGGTTTTTTATTTTTTTCTTCTTTACATAATCCGAAAGAATCTCCCTCTACACTAAAAACAGCTGCAGCCAGTATGTCTAATAAGGACGTGTACGCCTCGACATTGTAATGCCAGGAGATATGATATGGCCGCCATTATGAATAAGATTATTTTTTTTAACCATAAGACTTTAGCATGTTGTAGTTCTAATTATTGAGCAGTCTATAGCCTACATCTGCACATATCAGATACTGGTCCTGATGACCTACTTTTAATGTCATACCACATGATATTACTATATTCCTTTCAGTTTAACTAAATAGCTACATTTGCACCTCCTAAATTCTCCCTGTTAATCTGTATTATTGGCTCTAATTAAATTATAATCAGGTATTGCCTATGAGTCTATTAAATGTATTAAATCTGTAACTGGATGCTTTTAAAATTACAAACGTACCAACAGTTTTTAATCTCCTGCCGTCTTTCTCTGGGGGGATCTTTCCACTGTTTACCTATTGCTAGTGTGAGTCCTGGTCTGGGTACCCCCCGGAGTCCCCCCACACCCCTCTTCAGAGTGTGGGGTCATGTAGGGGTGAAGCTCCCGGTACCTCAGAAGGTTATTCAGGAGTCAAGCCGCACTGAGGCATTCACAGTCTTGAACTGCGGAGCGGGCAGACGCTCCGTCAACGCCGGGACCGCTGACCACTCAGCGGGCCATCGGGCTGCCCCGCTAATGGGACAAGCACCCCCGGCTCCACCGTCCTTGTAACAGCCACCCATAAAGGAGCACAGGAGGATGCTAACCAAGATGAATGGCATTTTTTTCTCAGCTCATTCTACACTAATCAGAGCTTTTCATTTGTTATGGCCTCGCGCCAGCCCCTCCACCGCTGCCTCCATTAGGGCCAGATAACGTATAAATTCATTAAAGTCAGAGAGGGACGTTAAAATGGCCATTTGTCAGATCTCTCTTTGTGTGTCCCTAATGGTGGCACATGGTTCAAGGCATTGAGATGATTTTTGGTAGGGCTATCCAGTGCATTAGGAGAGGAACGTGGGAACTAAGGGGAAACGTGTGTGTTTTTTGTTTTCATGAATGGTGGATACTTGGATTATTTATTTTTTTTAATTTAAATTTTAACATCTCATTGGTTTAATGCTAGGTTGGTATCAGTATTTTCTGAAAATAAAATCAAGATATCAGGAATATTTGCTGCCCAAAACAACTGTTTTTGTACCTATTTATTCTATCATGTAACATCAGAAACACTACCAAACTTAATTAGTCTATTCAGTGGAAAGAGTTGATATTTTTACTTTTCTTTTGTTTTTGTCTAATTAGAGCAAAATGTTTTTTTTGTGGTTATCCAATCCATCCATCAACTTCAGATGCCCCCCTCCCCATCCCCTACACACACACACACACACACACACACACACACACATACAAACTCACAGTCAATGAAGCAACCCTTTGCACTAATCCCTTTGTATTCGCACCACCATTCCCACCGAACAATGTCCTAAAGCCTAATCCTAAACCAAGCTCAACAAACCTGGGCTAGCAAGTCTCAGTGCAGCTAAAAGGCCAACACAGACCACAGCAACACACCGTCTGTTTCACTCCAAGACTTCACTTGCATTCACACAAAGAGCACAAGCATATGAATGCAAGGATTTAAGTACACATACATCCAAGCACACACACACACACACACACACACACACACACACACCAGATCTTTTTTTCATGCTCCCTCTCTTTTTTGGCCCCCTTCCCCTATTTCCCTCCTTCCATTTCTGTATTCGTCCTTCTCTGGCTTCAGGATGGAGGTTCTGGCTGCGTCGTCATGGGAGATGGCCTTCTCCATCTGCCTCTGCTGTCATTAGCCCATCTCCATCACGCTTTATCGGAGGCCACCCCCCACCCTGCTGGACCCTCTTCAGCATTCTGACAACCCCTGCCCCCTGCCCCATACATAAGGCTGAGATGATAAGTGTTCTCCCTCTTTGTGTCGGCCAGGATAAGACAATGCCACACAGCACTACAGAACATCATCCATCTCATAGGTCATCAATCTGGGACACAAAAGATGAAATGTAGCTCGAACTCCCTTTTGCAAAGGGGTTTCTCTTTGCTTAGAAGAAGCTCGTCGACAGTCTCTCTCTCGCCCCTTTTCACTGCTAGGTTGGTAGTTCACCAACAAATTCTTCTGCAGTGCATGCACAGGAGGAAAACAGTTAATGCAGCTAATTTGAGTATTTCTTAAAAACACCAGCACGAATTCCAGTTGCACAAAAATAAAACCAGACATTATTTCAACATCTACAGTGATAGATGAACTCTGTTTCAGTTCCTCTGCAGAGAAAAAAAATATCTTGTAGATAAGAACGCTTGACTACAAACAGGCTGTTGATCCACTTTAGTGTCCACTAAACTGACACACTAAAAGGCCTCTGCCAAATTTATATGAATTTCTTTGGTGGTAAATACTAATTAAAAGCCATGTGTCACATAAATAACACCATTTACCTTTTGTTTCTCTTCTTTTCTGCCTAATTAGGTTTACATTGTCTCATCACCAGCATGGGGCTTTTTGTCTTAATGACAGCAAAGTCTTGGTTTAAGGTCTTCAATTTATTTACGTATGATAACCCACTGAGATTAATGTGAGGCCAAGAATCAAAATAGCAGAAAACACAATAAATGTTCTCAGAATTAAAATAAAACCCACAGACATGGTCATTGATATGATGTATGACAGTTTTACGACATTTTGTCCCTCAGTGGGTTGAGTGTAATCGGCCATATGATTGTTACTCATTTATATTGTTGAAAATGTAGCTTCAAAAGTGACTTTTAGTTTTTGCAGCAGTCACACAGGCATACAGAATTTGTGAGCAAAAAAAAGTGTGTGTATGATAATTGGATTCTAGTGGACAACGGTTTCTCTACTCTCTGTTGTGCAGGTTTTATCATCTTTAGCCATCATAAGAGACAGATAGCCGCCCAAAGTGTTTAAAATCTTAAATTAGGTTCAGATTGGGTGTTCTTGCTTTGTTCTACATAATCTGATGGCTGATAAATTAACAAACAGTATGTAAAGCTATAGGCAGTATACTGGAATAACATGATATGAAGCTAGATATTTCCTTTGATTTAGTTTATTGTAACATAATAATCTCTAATCTGTTAAATAGTATACTGGTATAATTCTTTTGTTACATTGTTTTAGCTGACTACAATAAGCATTTCTCCCCAATTGTCATCTTTTTCACACTATATAGCATTGTTCCCCAAATGTGTTCATGTAAATACCACTTTAAAGCTCCAATAATCATCCAAAAATAGTGTAACCTTATCAATCTTGAGGTATTTTTTTTAAAGTATTGCGATAAGACAGTGCCATGTTATATTTATATTAAGTCTGCTTCATTCCTCTAGGATTTTTATTCCAGGGTGAGACAAATGAGAACTTGATTCCCAGGATCTAAATGCTCTGATATTTTGAAAAGAATTTAAAAAACCATCAACATGGATGTCACTTCAGACAAAAGATGAGACATATTGTAGCAGCTTCAACGGCAACAACAATATGCCCCCCACTCCATTTTATGCAAATGTTCTGTTAAACCGTTCTGCCAACATTATCAGGTTAACCTGATAATCTGCTGCCCGCGTCTGGGTCTTAGGGGCTTTACACACAATCAATATGATGAGCCCTGAACTGTCCGCAAAATAAAGACACCGGTCATGCCATTACCACACCACTCCAATCACACACGGTTGCATTATCATTACCATCAGGGCACGTGATATAGGCAGACATTTATGGCTTATATTTTTAAGATCTTTGACTTTGAGGAATAAGGCATCCTTTGATTCCAACAGGGTTCACAGTCACACTGACATGTTAGCAATTAAGAGCATGTAAACAATATACTTGACTTACTTGTAGTAATATGAAGGCTTACATTAGGTGATTAGGTTTTATGTTATAGGTGGAGCGCAGACTCCAGGCAGATGGTTGACCTCTATGTTAGACTTTAGCTTGCTGTAATAAGTTTAGACAGACTGGAGGCCTGATCTTTCAGAAGGGAGCTGAACCAGTCCAAAAAGGAATCAACCAGACCACCTCAGGTTAATCTCACAACGACCTGAAATGCCCAAGAGGGATTACTGATTTTAGCACACAATGTCACTCACCACTGTTACCCTGACATTTAAAAGTCACAAACAAAGTCGAAGAATATGCTTTTTAAGAGAAGGATTATTCTGTTGGAGAAATAATATGCACGTCTTTCTGATGAGATGAGACACTTTTTGGACTTCACGTTACATGCAGTCAGTTATATATTTTGTTCTATGAACATGCAAAGAACGAGATGAAATTATAGGTGCAGTGTGCACTGACATTTGTCTGTACTGATTCGAATGATTCATAAACTGATTCAGAGATTCTTTTTATAGGCTGTTTTGATGTCACATCTAATCTGAATTTAAAGGGTTAGGCTGCTCCAGTGACTTGGTCTCGCATTTCCATAAGACAGATTTTAAAACTAATGTCCTAATTGATGAAGCAGAGGCTTGAATATCCCGAGTTTTACATAAAAAAAACCCTGCATCCTGTACTTCTTGCAACACTACTGTCTTTAAATAGAACTATATATGTCTAGTTTGTGATGCAGGGTTTCTGTTAAAGCTGTTGTCTCTTCCGGAGCCACACAATACACTATTGTGGAGGATTAACTGTTTTCACCTTCCATATATTTTCCTTAAATAATAATTTTATATTTTCATTTTTTTTGTCTATATATTTCTGCTATCTGTCTTTTTTTCTATCTCCCTGTAAAGCTTTGTAACAGTGCTACATAAATAAATTGTACCCACTTGCTTACTCATAGAACTAGGGTTATGATGGATAACCTTGATTCTACATCACACTTCAGGCTTCATCCTCAAAAAGCAGGCTTAAAGGGGTTCACAGCCAGATGCTCACATTCCCTGTCGTGACACTAAAGTACAATTCACACCAGAATTGACACGTCAGCAACGCATAAGCCCTATGGAGGCATCCATCCGTTCAATCCACACCACCACTGTTATGGCTGTCACTGTCCTCAGAACCATCTGTCCTTTCAGCACCTTGACAACAGCCAACCTTCACCAGAAACACTACCAAACCAATTAGTCTATTCATTGGAAAGTGTAGATATTTTAAGAATGTTGCGTCAGAAATGTGTGGAAGTTTATTTATCAGTTCATCTCCCATTGAGGCTTTTTATACCCATAGAGAAACTGACTCATCGCTGTATGACGCACTAGTGGAAATGTGTGTTATTTGAACAGGCATACAAACAGGACATCACTTGGCAGAGGAAGGTCACATTCAGTTTCAGGTAGCCTGAGTCATTTAAGCTATCGGACACTTATTGCCACCATGACATCCCTTCCCATGTGGTTTAGTGTCAATTCACCTTCATTTATGTGACAACTCTCACATGACTGCTATGTGGTCCTAATTACATGTGACCAGGGTGTGAATGACCAAAGAGGTTTAAATGCCTGGGCCCTCAAACCAGCCAGAAGAACTGCTGATGCCCTTTGGGTCTCTATATATAGTCCAGTGGAGAGCTTCAGTTCAGCCCGACTCACTGAATGAGAAGAGCATTGTTGTGGTGGAGTACAGAAAAGCTGCCTGTCCATGTGACGGTCAAGACATCCCAACTCAAGGTCCACCGATTATCTTTTCCAGACCCTTTCACAGTCCTCATCAGTGGAGTTGCCATGGAGATGGAACTGGGGCTCAGGGAGCTCACTAGTTGTTATTATTTTTCCCACAGCACTTTTAAGACTTCTCAAATGTGTTGGCGACAAAGTTCGTTCTTCAGCTTGGAAATAGCAAAACAATCCCAACTCAAGGTCCACTTACTAGTTTGACTTAGAATATGGGGGACACCTTATCCTCACTTGGGCTTTAGTCCACAGTAATGTGAGGGAGACCTTGACTAGAATTACTTGATTACTAGAAGTGTTGGATTTAAAGGTTTGATTTGACCCGCAGCCCTCTTGGATCAACAAAATACTCAAAATAACACTAAAACATCCAATGTACCCACAAACTGTACATTTTTTATAGTTTAACATGTAGCTACATATCATCATCATCATCATCATCATCATCTGTATACTGTATATATACACATATACTATACACATCCACCTATAAAAGAACTACATTCATAAAGTAACTACATTAATCACTCAATATTTAGTCCAGCACTCTTTGCACTCCGCACCATTGCAAACTTCCATTCTTGTTTACAATTTACAGAAACATATTGACTTGCATCTAGACATTGTATGTTATTGGTTTTTATATATATACACAGAAACCTATTTTTTCATGTTCTTGTATGCACATTAGTTCTCCGTTTATATTTAGCCTACCGTATCTTTGCCTAGCTTTGTTTTCCCTGCTTTTTTAACCTTATCTCCATTCCTGCCTTCCTGTAAACTGTAACATTGAACTTAAAACTGGAACGTGTGTATACGTGCAAAATAAAATAGATTCAGAAAAGGTTTGGACTGTCAATATTTCCAAAAATGTTAGAGTTACATGCAATTTCCTATGTCACTGAATTAGAATCTCAAAATCAAACCATCTTAGTTACATTAAGTCAGTTTTCAGCATGATTCAATTACCTCGTCTCACTTTTCTCATGAACTCAGTGACATTTCAAACCCTTCCAACAGAGAGGTCAACCTCATGGGACACACTTTCTTACCATGCTGCAGAGCCTGCAGTACTATCCTGCCGCCCTGTGGCCTGACGAGACATCACCATCTTACGTTACGCTTCACAGTTTTACGGTTTCCGCAATAATGTCCCTCTGCGGCACCCGTAGACTTTCGGTAAAGTCAGACGTGTATTTACGCGTCAACGGGAAGTTTCCTACCATACAGCTTGAGGAAGAACAGTCCTATGAGCCATCGCTTGATCGCAGCTCGTTTGAGACAATCTACTAATGAATTCAACGGAGGATGTCATCCGACTTAACGTTAGACTTCGAAAATCACCAACAATATCCTGCGATGGACACTGAGGCAGGCATCATCTCCATCGACCACGGAGGAGAGTGGGGTAAGCTACACTTTCTAGAAAGTCTGACACAGGGAGGCAGAGGTCGCTAACTTAAACACTTGTTAGGGTAACAGATATAACTCGTGAAGGTGGTCCTTAAAATGCAATTTGTGACAAAGTTGCCGTTTCAGAAATATATGTAAATACGTCTGAGGTCTGATGTGGTACTGTACTGTTTCCATACGCTGCTAACTAGCATCCAGTTAGCATGAGCTGGCTGTGGATGATGTAACCTGCTGAGTGTGGATGTAATGTAAATAATAAGCAGCAATATGACTGCACACACAATGTACACACACTTGTCTAATACAGACACATGAATGCTCTACACACTCATTGATCACTTTATGGTGAATATAACTGCTGGAAAGAGAGTTTGCTGCTCTTGTTTTGGAAGAAGCTGCAAGCTGTCAAATTTTATTTTTCCACCCTTAAATGCTTATATTTGTAATAATTAATGAATTAATCAAAAATGTAATCTGACCGGATTTTTTACCTTGGAAAAATAACAAACATGTACACATTTAGTAAACAAGAAGAATGACGATGATAATAAAAATAATGCACCAATATGGGAATAAGTTATGTTAACCTTTAATGTTGTTATTCTCTCTTGTGCTTCAGTTACAACACTTTGTTTGCGTGCTATTATATTTTATTTCATGTTCATGTTGTTGAAAATGTATATGAAAGTGGATTTTTGTTTCATATTCAAAGGTATGATTGGTGGTTAGACTTAAACTGTGCAATAATGGTCTAAAAGCAGTTTGACCTGATGTTTTGTGCGGTATACTTGTTGTCACACAGATATTAGCCTGTTTGATGAGCTAGACAACCTGGGAGATGCAGATGCGCTACTTGAGGCCCTGGAGAATGCTGGCTATGTGAGTTACTCATCCTCTCAATATGCAAAGGAGAATTATTGACTGGAAGTGAAAGTCTTATGTGAAAAGTATGCAAAATTGTGAAAAACTAGACATTTGCCTGTGGTGCAGAGATGCAGCTGCATCAATAGCTAACATGGGTAACACAGCATTTTATGTAAGGACATGTGATACAGAGACAGCAGCATTGTGTAGGTGTCAGGCATACTATAAGCAACAGCAAGATTTTTTACAAGAGTTTTATTGACTGCCTCTTGCACACTTGCAGTTCTCCGCCCAGTGTCCCACTGTGTTTGACACAGCAGAAATGTAATAAAAAAATATGCATGTGCACATTACTTGAACTGTTGACCAGACATTATTGCCTTATTGTTTCCAATCTGCATTCCGATGAGCTTCATTGTTTAAAATATATGTGTTTGGTTTCTCAGGCCAGTGAGGGTCCAGACCTGGACTTTGATATCGACATACCGCTGTGGAATGGAGTGGACACAAACAGCTCCTGTACAGGTACAGAAACACGTGTTGATGTCTGTGTAAACATGGTTATTACATTTTAACATGACATAAGCTGAGCTTTACTAAAGAAAGAGTCTGATGTCCATCTGTTTAATATTTATATGCTCTAACCCATCTGATGTGCTTTTGCATTGTATTGACAGAATATTGTCATGTATACAGTTGTTGTTGTTGTGCTGCATGCAGCTTTAAGTGTAATATACCACTACTGACCCACTGTCAAGGAAATGAAATTAACAATAAGGTTACTTACTTATTATTTTCTGTTGTTATCTTATTCATGATGGTTACTTGTGGTACTATATTTCTTAAAGAAATTAGGGAAATTATGACCAAAAATATAAATATAACTTATTAATTAGGTAATGTTAATGAATAAAGGATAAAGAGAGGGTGTTAGTGTTGAGTTTGTGCGTGGGAATGCACAGGGATAGTAAACCACATCTATCTGCTGCTGATAAGCCCGTCATATATGACACATTTTTCTGTGTCTTTGTCCTTGTGTATCCAGATGGCGAGATGAGCCTGGACTCTCTGTCACCGGCCCACACTCTGAGCTCTGTCCCCTCTCCTTCTTCTGTGGAAGCCCTGTCCCCATACTCCTTACAAGTAAGTTACTGTTTTCAACTCTTTGTCCTTCTCAGTTTTCGACAGTCGACTCGTATTTCCAATGCAAATTTTTACCTTTCTTATTTGTTGTGAGAATTTGCATACGCGCCCCTGTTGGTGTGCATTTTCCCATCCAGATGGTGTCCAGACATTGACAGCTGCTCTTTGCTTTTGGATAGCGACGCACACATGCACACTTGAGACACTTATTAACAAAAGCCTTAAACACCTTGTCACACTAATAATTTGCTGCTAGTCTGAGTTGTGCCCCGCCCCCTCGTTAAATAAAAGGTGCTGACAACTTCAGCCACATTAGCATAATTTAGCAGACAGATGTTTTCGCAGTATGTCAAAACAAGGACATGGGTTACATCTTTGTCTGGCCCCGACGCCGTCTGCACACGTTTGACTGATAACTGAATCACCCTGACTGAATTCAAGGACACATTTTTCTGCTACAGTCTTGGACAATATTGACAAGGACACTTGATTCATCTTTTATCTGATGCATCTCACTGCACAGCAATTACTGTACATGGACTGTAATATATAGAGTTGACATTTTTACTCTTGCTAAACAGGACTACAATCATATTTCATTAGACAGTGTTCTCGTCTTGTGGTTTGTTGATAACTGATACAACTGCAGGCAAGCATCATGATCCTAAAGTTACTCCCACATAATGGTCTCATAAGTAGCCTGTTTGGATGACTATACCAGACTGAGTCAGTGTTGAGTAGCAGAAATCAAAATGATTCAAGTCTTGCAGGAGTTTACTACATTTCAGATGTCCATTAAAAAAGAGGTCCAGTATCTTGTAGACACAAGTCTTCTCTGCTTCCCCATCCAGGATGAGGCCCTGTCTCCGCAGTCGCAGCTCTCTCCTGTTTCAGTCTGCTCAGACTCCAGCGGTTTTTCTGCAATCTTTCCTCCAGCTAAGAAAGCTCCAAAGAGGACCAGTCAGACCACACGAGGTGAGGCATCCTCCACCATGGGCACATCTGCTCATTCAGCTGTCATCTATATTTGTACGCTTTGTCCAAAAACCAGGGGAAATTTTGTACCACACTCTGGCTTTGCAGAATTCTTGAATATGATCAACCGAACAAAGAAATATAGAAGTGGTCTCTCATTAAAAAAGAAAACAAGATTTGTAGAAGGAAAAACTAGCTTCTTAAAAAATACCCTGTTACTGTAAATAACTATAAAGTCAGCCTTTCCTTGTACTCACATAAAACCTGTTTTGTTATCTCACTCCTACCCCCATCTCCTTCCACATACAGTCAAACAAGCTCAGCCAATCAAGAGGCCCATTCAGATCGGCCCGAAGGTTTCCATCCAACCCAAACCGCTGATTACAGCTGTGCCCTTGGCTCATGCGGCAGCTCCCCTGCAGGCCAAGACAATCATCATCCAGCCCCTGCAGACCACTGCGCTGCCTGTGGTCAAAGCAGCTCCGGTCAACATTCAACCAGCTCCCCCTCCAGGTCAGAGCTCCCACTGCAACACATTGAGACACATTTCCTCAGATCACACTACATTGCATCAGAGCAGTGCACTGGGTATATAAGCAAGCAGCGTGTTGTTCTTAGCAAGCGGTGTGTTGTTCTTAATGTTATTAATTTTCATTTAGAGATGACATGATATTTGTATTGCTTGTCGTTTCTGATGAATTTGGTTGTTTTTCTTGCTTAGACAATAATTTAATTGTGGTGTCTTGGCCAGCAGATGGTGCTTTAACCTTAGTTTTTTCTCACCAGGTGATTTTCAGTCCTCAGTGTCCCATGTTACTCTGCTTGATGGGCTAATAATGATAAGTAAATGAGATGTTAGAATACTACATGTTTCCTTTTTGTATTAAAATATGGTCCAAATTTGGGTTACATTTGAGGAATAAAACAACACTGGGAATCAGCCCTCATGAATATACAATCAATGAACTTTGTTTATAACCCACACATACCCAAACACTATTTATGCGCTGCTGTGTGATTTTGTGGGTTTCATGCATTAGAGTCAGTATTGTGTTGTTTTTGTGGTTTAGTCTGCCTGGTTTACCGATCTGGTCATCTCTAGGTGTTACATCAGCAGCACCTAGGCCAATGTAAATACTTATGTCATTGCCTGGGACCCAAGTGGGTGGAGTATCTGACCTCTCTTGACTTGAATTTGAGCTTGGCTTTCCTGTCTGCCCGGTAAAAGCCAAGATGGCAGATGGCTAGGGCCAAGACATCCAAGTTTAGGACCCCAGATGGAAGTCAAGTCAAGCCTGCTCAGTGTTATGAGTGTCCTTGGTTTAAGATCTGTGCAATAGTCACAGCTGAGGAGTGAGCCCTGTACATCAGGTCAGTAGAAGAAAGAAAACGGAAGATATTTACTGATGAGTTCACATTTTATAGAGTCTGACCTAGGCGGACATGTAT